CCCCAGCGCCTATAAAACTGTATCACATAGGGCCCGGCGCGGTGGCGCAAGTGGTTAAGGTCCTCGCCTAGCACGCCCGGGATCCCATATGGGCGCCGGTTCTAATCCCGGCAGCCCCGCTTCCCTTCCAGCTCCCTGCCTGTGGCCCGGGAAAGCAGTCGAGGACGGCCCAAGGCTTTGGGACCCTGCACCTGCGTGGGAGACCCGGAAGAGGCTCCTGGCTTCGGATCGGCATAGTATCGGCCCGTTGCGCTCACTTGGGGAGTGAATCATCGGATGGAAGATCTTCCTCTCTGTCTCTCCTCTCTGTATATCCGCCTTTCCAATGAGAAAATAATAAAAATAAATCTTTAAAAAAAAAAAAACTGTATCACATAATACAATGTAAACAACAATAAAAAAAAAATGAGGTTTGATTGTTTTGTGACAAGCCTTTGAGCACTTGCTAAATTTGTAAACTGTTATGAAGATTCATGACCTTGTTTAAAAATAAGCTTGGCTTGCAGTGGTAGATTTTAGCAAAAGAGACAATATTATTATATTATTGTCGAAATGTTAGATGTATAATACAAATCAGTGTTTTCCACGTTGCCCTTAGTACCTTTCGAAGTGAAAGGCTTGAGGACACACTCTCCCTGCAGTGTGGCGATAATGATGATGTAAAACAAGAGATCTGAGGACGTTTCCTGCTTGTAGTGTTGTGATCATGATGACGCGTGGAGAAAGTCCACTGAAAGGGCATGCCTAAGTACTAATCACGCTCTTGGCATGCCATGAAAAGGAGGCCCCAGGTCACATTTTAAAATCTGTACATCCTAAAGGGGTTTCATGAGACACCTACAAAAGCTTTTACCTCAGTGCAAAAAAAAAGAGGGGGGTGATACATATTTCACTTTGATGCTGAAAGGCACCTGATGAATTGTATTCCCTTCAGCTTACTGGAAAATCACATCAAGATAATTTCTCTTTACGAAATTCAATGTTAGCTTTATAAAGGGGAAAAAGTTTTTCACCTCCATTTTAGACCAAAGGATGCAAGAAGTCAAACTTAATTTTTTTTTTTTAATGTATGAAGAGAATGACTGTTATGTATTCCATACGTAGAGTTCCAAGAAGAAATCAAAATCAATATCAAAATTCTGGGTAAAATTTTTCTCTAAGGTAAGAGGTTTTTGTTTGTTTGTTTGTTTGTTTTCATAAAACTTGCAAGGGTATTTCCTTAGGGTGAGATAGTAGTTGTACAAAGTATTTAACATTCTCCTGTAACACTCAGCATCTATAACTTAGAGAAGAAAAAATACAAAATCAAGTTAATTTTTTCTACATGGCAAGCACTGGGCCACTCACTTTCCAGGTATATATATAGTATTCAATCCTCACCATCCTGAGATACTCATATTTTAATACATTTATTGTGATCTAACGTATGTGTAACAGATAATGATGCACCTATTTTATTCGAGTTAATGGATCTTGGATCTATGCACCCGCAGGCAGCCACCACCGTCATCTAGTCTTTCGTGGCCTCTCTGTGGTCTGTGTCCCCACTTCAGCTCCTGCAAACCATTTTTGGCATTGTAAGTTGATCTTTCTTGGCGTCTCAGTTAAATTGATCACAAAGCAGGTAGCCTTTTGTATGTGACTTTTTCACTTAACGTAGCCTGCGAGATTAAGTCACTGTTTTTATTGCTGAGTAGAATTTCATCACAAGGAGTCACCATAACATGGTGACCCATTCTGAAGTTGATGATTATTAAAGTGGTTTGAATTTTTTTCTTTTTGCCTATTGTGCATAAAACTTTTCTGAACAATAATTTTAAAAATCTATATGAACATGTTTTCTTTTTCTTGGGTAGACACATAAAAGGAACACTGGATTTCAAGGTGATCGTAGTATATTATATAGCCAAAGGCAGTGGCTAGCTGCTGCTCAGCCTAGTCACCCTTGAACTTTACAATAGGAACCCCTTGGGTGTGCGTGTGGTTGTACTCTTGGTGGTTTTCCCTGGTGTGGTGGCACCAGTGATTTTTATTTATTTATTCTACTTATTTTTGTGACTGCTGTACTCACATAAGCTGATCAGAGGAATACTATACACTGACAAGACTTGGAAGTCCTTTATTTGCTGGAAGTGAGGAGTGGGATCATGCCCCCAAAACTCTTGGCCCTGAAGTTTAGAGTAGTGGTGTTATAATGGCAAAAACTACACATGGGGGTCGCGGTTCAGAACTACCTTAGGAATGAAAAATTATAACTTTTACTAATTTTGCAAGCTTTTATTGCTGAACCATGCTGGAACAGCCCGGCCAGGAGATTGAGGGTCCTTGGCCAGGCTACAGTCTCACAGGTTGCAGGCTACCTAGAGGGAGCCCTACTCAACATGGAATCCCTCATGTCAGACCTATTATTTTAGTGGTGATTTATTTACTTATTTTGAAAGAGTTATAGAAAGAGGGAGAGACATACACACACACAAAGAGATCTTCCATCTGTTGTTTCCTTCACCAAATGGCTGCAACAGCCAGTGCGGATCCAGGCCAAAGCCAGGTGCACCATCCAGGTTGTCCACATGGTGGCAGAGGCCAAATACTTGGGCTGTCTTCTCTCTACCTTCTTTTCCCAGGACGTTCGTCAGGTTGCTGGATTAGAAGTGGAGCACTGAGACAAGAACTAGAGCCCTTATCCGATGGTGGTGTGCAGGCAGCGGCTCTCCCCACGCACCCAACTCTGGCCCCACCCAATGACCCTTGTGGTAGTCATGCCCTTGTGCAGTCCAGCTTTAAATTAAATACTGACAACCTGTATAACCAATAGGTTATTGCAGGTGTGACAACTTGAGTGACTTCGAAGGCCAGATCATATTTTGATGCCATAATAGTTTCTTAGTCACTCTGGGGAAAACCAACTGCCATGCCATAAGGCACCTCAAGCTCATGGTCCAGGTGGTGAGGAACTGCGCCCACCTGTCAAAAGGTAGCATGCCTTTGAAGTGAGCCCTCTTGGAAGTATATCCCAAACATGTCTTAGGAGACAGCTCTGGCTAACATCTTGACTGTAGTCTCAGGAGAAACCTTGAGCCTGGATTCCCAACTTACAGAAATGATGTGATGCAGTACATCTTTATTACTGCATTAAGCTCATTAATTTTGGGATGATATGCAGGAAATAGATTTTGGTACTTGCTGCTGGAACTCCCAGGCTTAACATCAGGCAGTAAGTGGAAGGTAAAAGGACTGTGAAGTGGTCAGAGAAAGCCTACTGACAGAAGCCTGCAGGCTGGGAGCACAGCACCAAGGAGACTATGCAGGCAGGATTTCAAACGATCTTTGATTCCTGACCGCTCCTATACTGGTTTGGGATGGCTGTTCCCCATGAGTGTGAGCAGGACTTGGGAATGTGAGCAATGTTGCTGCCATGATTAGATTGTGCCATCCTGCAGAGGCAATTCTGCAGATGTAATTAAGGTCCCTAATCACTTTGAGTTAATGAAGAGAGAAATTATTCTAGTCTGGGAGGGATTTAGCAAATCATGTGAGACTTTAAGAGTCAAACAGTAGGGCCGGGCATGATAGCTCAGTGGCTAAGTCCTCACCTTGCAAGCGCCAGGATGACATATGGGAGCCTGTTTATGTCCTGGCTGCTCCACTTCCCATCCAGCTCCCTGCTTGTGGCCTGGGAAAGCAGTGGAGGATCGCCCAAAGCCTTGGGTTCCTGCACCTGCATGGGAGATCCGGAAGAGTCTTCTGGCTCTTGGGGAGTGTGCTGATGGCAGACAGTCTTCCTCTGTCTCTCCTCTCTGGGTATCTGCCTTTCCAATAAAAACAATGTTTAAAGAAAGAGTCAAATGGTAACAGCAGAGATGCAAGGGGGCAAGACTAATCAATATTCTTCAGGGATAGTAGAAAAGGGTGAAAAGAGCAGAGGGAACAACATGGGTGAAACAAACGGGCTTGCCTAGGTAGCTGTGAGTTGTCCTGCCAGCGACAGTCAGCTGCAGCTGAGGGGTGCGCACCACCCTAACAGACAGGATGGACAGTCTTGCGCAGGCTGGAGAGGGATATGATATTATCATCACCTCTAGAGGCTGTTTTCTATAAGGCCAGGAACTGGCCTAAGAACTTGAAGGCTTTATTTCATTTACTCTGTAACAGTGTCACAAGAAGTTACTACTATTGGCCCACTCTAATGTTGGGATTAGAGGGCTCCGTCTTAGAAAATGATGCGCAAACCCACTAGTTAACTCAGAATTTGAATCCTGTGCAATTCAAAAGCAATTGTCATGATTTCTAGAGCATGCTATCTAGAGGAGTAAGGATGCTGGCAATGGTCTCAAAGAAGGACTGAACAATGGCTGCTGGGACCCCCACCCCGCCAATGCTATTGTGAGGGTTTTTGTGGAACAGTTAAACTCAGTCCTGGCTCTGCTCAGTTCACTGCAGCTCTGTGCTTGCTAGTCCTCGAGCATGAGTCTCCTGTGAAATAAGGAGAATGGGGCTTGCCTTACGGGGTGTGAGATTGAAGAGGAAGTGCAAGGCAACCACCAGACACCACGTTTGAAATACCGCCTGTCCTAACACATACGAAGGTTAGCAAATGTTCATCTATTCAAGTGTAAGGACGTGTTCATTTTAAGAAAGCCTAAGGGCTTGATAAGGCTTGCAAGTGTAAATCATCTGATAATGAGTTCATCTAGTAGACATTCAGGTAACAGCGGGGCAGATACTTTGCATGGGTCAGGCCAAGCAATAGGCGAAGACACCACAGTCTCCTTCCGCGACTGCCGCCTTTCAGTCACCTTTTCCTCATCGCGAGCCTCCATTTCTCGCGAGAGTCTCCAGCGGCATCTTAAGGTTGCTGCTGGAAACGGGAGCCGAGCAAGAGCCGCGAGACTCCGCGCGAATACCGCACTCTAAGCCCCGCCCACCTCCCGGGAGCCGCACGTGCAATTGTTGTGGTCTGACGTCACGGGCTCCCGGAAGTCAGACAGGACGGGCCCCGCCTCCAAGATGGCAGCGCGCAGGGCATGCGACCGTGAACCGCTTGGGCTCGGTCTCGAGTGGTAGCGTGAGCCGGCTTTGCAGCGCCATGGACCGGCCTGGCTTCACAGCGTCCCTGGTGGTGAGGGCAGGGCGGAGGCGAGGGCTGGTAGGGCTGCGGGAGTCCGTGCGGGCGTCCGTGCCGCTGGGGTGGCTCTTGGGGTGTCTTCGGGTCACCCCGGCTCCCAGGTGTGGGGTTCCCAGGTCACCGCCGGGCCTGGCCCGCGTCAACTTCTGCCGAGATAGGAGCGGAGGGGGCTGGGGGTACTTAATTCGTTGTCTTCCGCGTGTTCGTTCACTGAAAGGGCTTTGGAATTGAGGAGCTAAAGAAATACATGTAAGTGAGCGAATCAAAGGTATAAAACCGAGCTAGGTGTATGAAAGGGGGAAAACAATCCTTATAGCTCCCTGTATGCTTACAGTTGTCTTGCTCTAGTCTAATATTTGATTTTTATTCTTAGCCGTTCACTCATTGAATGCAAAGTTGATTTGTTTCTTGGGCTTCAAGCTGAGGCTTTGGAAGGTATTGATGGGCATAAGTGGGCGGCTGTGAATTTGGTCGATGGGCTTTGAATTTAATTCCTTAGAAAGCTGTGAGAATCAATACGTTTTGACATAAAAAAAAAAAGGAAAAAGTTATTTCACCAATACACGTGTTTCACGGTCGGTTACAGCAAGCCCGAGTAGAAGACGCTGCATACAGCAGTGAATTAAAGTGGAAAAGTAGCCTTCTTATGTTTTCTGTGCGGGGTAGTGGGCAGTGGTAGAGAAGTGACTTCAAAAATGCACCTCTCAGGGCAAAGGGAGGCCCAGAGGCCTGTGCTGTTTCAATTTCCATGACTTGGAGTTGCAGGTGTTGGAGATAATATGGTCAGTCACACGAAGGTCAGGTGTTGAGATGGAGTTGTAAAGTGACTGTTGGGGTAAAAAAAAAGACCAGGTGGGCCAGGTTCAGGGGATTATGAGCACGTATGGAAGGGAGAGGTGTTTTAGCCAGACTTGTGGATGGTGCCTTTAGATCTAGATTTGCTAGGAGTTGTATAAAATAGGTCTTCAGAAATAAATATGTTACCACTTGCAAGGAACTTTTTTGGGGGGGAGTGGGGAAGCTGGTAATATAGCAGTAGTGTTTTTTGAGTAGTCCTGTGCTGGCTGTTGGTGCGTGTAATACCCATTTAATTCTTAAAGGATTGCAGCCTTGTTCTGTTTCTTCAAATGAGGAAGCTGGGATAGTGAGCAGCTGCCTTGTCTGAAGTGGCGCAAGTGAGTCTCCCTCCCCCATGTGAAAGATTTCTTTATTTGGGCTTAGTGCAGTGACTCAAATGGCTAAATCGCAGCCCGGCAAGCCCTGGGATCCCATATGGGCACCTGTTTGCATCCAGGCTGCTCCACTTACATCCAGCTCTCTGCTTGTGGCCTGGGAAAGCAGTTGAGGATGGCCCAAAGCCTTGGGACCCTGCACCCGCGTGGGAGACCTGGAGGAAGCTTCTGGCTGCTGGCTTCAGATGGGCTCAGCTCCAGCCATGGCGGCTACTTAGGGAGTGAGCTAGTGGATGGAAGATCCTTCTCTCTGATCTGCTTTTCCAATAAAACAAACATTGAAAAAAGATTTATTTGTTTTTAAAGCAGAGTGATGGAGATATAGTGATGTCTTCTGCTTGCTGATTCACTTCTCATGTGCTGACAGCACCCAAGCTAAACTACGCTGAAGTTGGGGGGCCAGGAACTTCATCCTAGTCTCCTAGTTGGGTGGTAGGAACCCACATATTTGCACTATCTTCTGCCTTCAAGGCTCATTAACAGAAAGCTGAATGAGGATTGGCCCATTGAGTTGTGGACCCTGGATTTTGTTTTTCAAAAAAAAAAATCTGAGGACCCTAGGTCATACTTCAGAGAGCTAAGCTGCCTCTTGCAGCACCAGTATTCCATGTTGTGCCACTCTGAGTCCTGCTGTGAACTTCTCTGCTAATGGCCTGAGAAAGCTGCAGGAGATGGCTCAAGTACTTGGGTCTGTGAAACCCACCTGAGAGACCCGGACGGGGCTCTGAGTCTCCTCCTGGCTTTGGGCTAGCTCAGCCCTGACCTACAGCATTTGGTGAGTGGACCAGCAATTGGAAGATCTCTCTGTAACTCTGCCTTTCAAATAAAACAAAATCAATCCTAATTTCCCTCTCCTGGTGCAGCAACCAGGACTGCACCAGGCTGAGACCAAGGTATTAGACTCAGTCTGGGTCTCCCGTGTGTGTGCCAGGGACTCAAGGACTTGAGTGTCATCTGCTCTCTCCGGGGTGCGCACCGGCAGAAAGCTGCAGTTGGAGGCGGAACCGGAGCATGAGCCCAGCTGCTTCCATTTGAGGTGGTTGTTCCAAACCACATTTTTAAAATTTATTTTTATTGCAAAGTCAGATATATATATATATAGAGAGAGAGAGAGAGGAGAGACAGAGAGGATCTTCCGTCCATTGATTCACTCCCCAAGTAGCCACAATGGCTGGAGCTGAGCCAATGCGAAGCCAGGAGCCAGGAACCTCCTCCAGGTCTCCCACGCGGGTGCAGGGTCCCAAGGCTTTGGGCCGTCCTCGACTGCTTTCCCAGGCCACAAGCAGGAAGCTGGATGGGAAGCGGGGCTGCCGGAGATACGAACCGGTGCCCATATGGGATCCGGGCATGTTGAAGGTGAGGACTTTAGCAGCTGGGCCATCGCGCTGGGCCCCCAAACCACATTTTAACTTCTCACCAAAAGCCCATCTCTGGGGACATTTTAATTTTTTGATCATTATTTTAAAAACCCATTATTGATATTTTTGTTAAGCATTTATGTTTTTCTTTTGGAAATTGCTTGATTCTATATAGGCTTTTTTTTTTTTTTAATCAGTGCACCTTTTTAAAGGTCAGGTTTGTAGTGCTTCTTTGTTTGTTTGCTTTTTGGAAAGGCAGATTTACAGAGGTAGCTCTTTCATCCTCTGGTTCACTCCCCAAGTTGCCATAAAGGCTGGAACTGAGCTGATCCTGAAGCTAGGAGTATCTTTCAGGGTTTCCAATGTGGGTGCAGGGTCCCAGCGCTTTAAGCAGTTCTCTGCTGCTTTTCAGGCAACCAGCAGATTGCTGGATGGGGTGGACCTGCTGTGACCCGAACTGGCACCCATATTGAGATGCCAGTGGTTGAAAGGGGATGATTAGCTGATTGAGCCATTGTGCTGGGCCCTGTAGTGTTTTCTGAAAGATGCTTACTAAGCTTTTATTTTAGCCTTTGAATGCCTGTAGTGTGCTGGTGTTACAAGAGTATTGATAAAGCAGGGCATGCGACCGTGAACCGCTTTTATGATCAAATGGGACAGAGATGGAGCAAATAAATGGTCATTTAAATGATCATACGGTTTCATTACAGTTTTGATGATTGTTTGGAAACAAGCAGGTATAAATCTGAAATGGGAGATTTGGGAGCTTATCTCCAAAGTCCTTGAAATGATCAGGTGATTGGAAGAGAGATAGCAAGGAGGCAAGAAGCAATCCAGCAAAAACAGGTAGGTTGCAGGTGGAGAGGTCATTTGCCTGGCATTTCCAGTGTGTGAAAGTTTGGGGTAAAGCTTTGGTGTCTGTCTGCAGGAATATTGAAGAATTTGGAAGATTCAGGCTGCAGAGTTGCAAGATGAAATTTATAAAGATGACTCAGATTTCTTTGTAGTGGGGCAGGGAGCTCTGTGGAAGAATTAATGGTCAGTAGGGAAGACAGATGTCACAGGAAGCAGGCACAGTGAGAGTGGTGGTGCAGATGGCTGGTGGTCACTGTTGTAGAGAAAACAATCTGTTAGGGAAGTGTGGAGAAGCCATGGCAAAGTAATGCTGTATTGTGTTAGCTCTCATTTAGGGCAGTGGCCTTTGTTGCTGTTGAGTTACACAGGTGAGGAGCAGGTTTTTGGGCTAGCAGTTAAGATGCCCGTGTCCTCCACGGGAGTGCCCATGTCCTCCATGGGAGTGCTCATATGCTCCACGGGAGTGCCCGTGTCCTCCTCGGGAGTGCTGTGTTTGTTTCCCAGCTTTGCCTCCTGGACTGCAGCTTTTTGTTAAAGCAGACCCTGGGAGGCAGTGGTGATAGCTCAAGTTACTGGGTTTCTGCCTCCTGTATGGAAAACCTGGGTTAAGATTCTTGCTCCAAATTTTGACCCTTAATTAGTCCCAACAATTACAGGTACTTGAGTGAGCCAGCTGATGGGCCCTCTTTCCAACTTACAAGAAAAGGAAGAGATACACAAATGGATCAAGTTCATCCTATAGCTGAGCAGCGGTGATTGCTCCCGTGTGCGTTTTGGCTAGTGGTGTTCTGCCAGCCTCCTGTTATGGAAGGTTTTGTTGGGCATAATCCTGACCCTTTTCAGTTCCTGGAGTGATTTCAAAGAATTTGTTAGATGCTTCCTTTGTGTAATCTGTCAACACTTGATTTCTATTTTACCTGTATGGTATTGAGATTGCAACTGATTTTTGTGCTGTAACACAGCTTCCTCAGGCTTATCTGTGCTCTATTCACTCTTTAGATTTTGTTTGGTTCTTAAACTAAATTTTTTCTTTTTTTTTTTTTAAAGATTTATTTTTTATTATTTTTGTATTGGAAAGGTGGATATACAGAGAGGAGAGACAGAGAGGAAGATCTTCCGTCCGATGATTCACTCCCCAAGTGAGCGCAACGGGCCGATACTATGCCGATCCAAAGCCAGGAGCCTCTTCCGGGTCTCCCACGCGGGTGCAGGTTCCCAAAGCTTTGGGCCGTCCTCGACTGCTTTCCCAGGCCACAGGCAGGGAGCTGGAAGGGAAGCGGGGCTGCCGGGATTAGAACCGGCGCCCATATGGGATCCTGGGCATGCAAGGCAAGGACCTTTAACCACTTGCGCCACCGCGCCGGGCCCAAACTAAATTTTTTCAATGTGCACTGTCAAAGACCTTGGTGTTATTTGCCTGGTAAGGTTTCTGATAAACAGTCATAACGAATTTCTCAGTCTTAAAAAAAAAATGTGATATGATTCATTTGGTGTTGGCTTGTATACTTTGTATGAAATGATTGATATAAAATTTTGGCATTTTCTCCGAAGATTTATTTTTATTAGAAAGGCAGATATACAGAGAGGAGGAGAGGCAGAGAGATCCTCTGTCTGCTGGTTTATTCCCCAAGTGGCCCCAACGGCTGGAGCTGAGCTGATCTGATATGAAGCCAGGAACCAGGAGCTTCTTCTGGGTCTTTCACATGGGTGCAGAGTCCCAAGGCTTAGGGCCGTCCTTTATTGCTTTCCCAGGCCATAGACAGTGAGCTGGATGGGAAGTGGAGCAGCTGGGACATCAACCGGTGCCCATATGGGATCCTGGTATATGCAAAGTTGTGTTTTTTTTTTTTTTAATTCTTAAATATGTTGTTTAACCAAACAGATAGATATTCTTCAGGTTCTTTATTAGCTATTTTTTTTCCAGTCTCATGAATGACATTGGAGTTATAAAAGTTTGAAATTCACAGAAGCAATTAATAACTTTTGATTCATGTTTTATTAGATAAGTAGATTGAATTGGTAATTTTATTCTCAGAAGATAAGAATTGTGGTGAAAGAAAGGTTAAAGAATCAATGCATGCAAAGTAGGCAGCTAAATTAAAGGAGTAATTAACTTATTGATTAAAATTTAGGAGCAGATGATAGCAAGCACTTCTCTGAATCTCCACTTAAGATTAAAGAGAAGACTGGAGTGAAGCGCAGCTTACTTCAAGAATCCAATTGTATCCAACAGTTCCACCAGGATTTTATTCTCTTTATTCTGTCTGTGCTTTGAGAAGATGAAAAGGGAGGCAAAATACTTGCCTGACAGAATTTTATAAAAATCTTTAGAAAATAGGAGGAATGATGAAAAGGTGTTTTATTTTTGTTTTACTTTCCAGCATTACTTGTTTGAACGTTTTCCTATGAGTTGGAAAAGCACATTTAAATCCAGAAAGAAATCTAATGTTGTCACTATTTTAGCGTCACTTTGAATGCTCTACTGGCATTTCAGTGTGTCTTTTGGTAACAGCTTTTCAGGGTATTCATAGAAAATACATTCATGGTCTTTCAGACTCTTTTATGCTTTTCAGACTGAGCATCTAGCATTCATAGTTATAGAAATGTGCTATCCTGGTGTAAACTACTTCTGGGTGATCTGTGCCAGTTAACTTTAACATAGGCATTGTTGGACTATTCACTAGAATAGTTTGCTTTTCTACTTAACCATTGGAATGATTTTACAGTGAAAGCCAACTAGAACAGAAGTACCAAAGTTGATAGCACTCTGAAATTGTAGGTTTGGGAGGGTGGAAACAACTGGTCTGCTTGAACCTAGCTTTCTGCATGATTCTGTGAATGCATAGTCTTTAAAATATTTATTTTCGTCTACTTGAAACGTAGAGCAAAAGGGTACAGGGGAGGATCTGCTGTACGTTAGTTCACTTCCAAATGCCCGCAGTGCCTAGGCCGAAGCCAGGAACGCGACTCCGTCTGAGTCTCCCTTGCGGGTGGAAGGAGCCTTCCTCCACTGCCTCCCAGGGTACAAAAGTAGAAAACTAGATCAGTCAGTCTGTGATGTGAGCATCCTAGGCAGTACTTAACCTCTGGGCCACAACACCTGTCCTGTTAAATATTTTTTTGATAGATAATAAGTTCAAATGGCAAAATTCCAAAGATAGACAAAGTTAGCAGTTCTGTTAAAAAGTTATTATGTGGAAATCTCAGTGAGAGTTCCTCCTTACACTTGTGTTTGCTTAGTATAACCTGATTTTGATTGAAGTAGTGTCTTCAGATGTTGTCTTTTTTTGGTTGTTGTTCTTACATTGTCTTCCTTTTAATATATTTTGGAGTTTCTTTTGTCTTTGAGATATGATTTGATTTACAAAATTGTACATGTTTCACTATAAACATAGTAAACTTAGTTTTTACTGTATTCTTTCAAAAGATTTTATTATTATTTGAATTGCTGAGCAAAGGACAGGAAGAAACAAAGAACTGAAACCCACTGCTTTGCTTCCAAGTGACAGCAATAGCCAGGCTTGGGACAGGCTGAGGCTGGGAGCCAGGAACACCAGTTGGGCTCCGCGTGGGTGGCAGGGTCCCGTTGCCTGTGTGCTTTCCCACACACATTAGCAGGAAGCTGGTTTGGGTGTGGAGCAGCTGGGTCTCCAACTGGCATTCCAGTATGTGTCGCCAGTATTTGCAGTTGGTGGCTTAACTCGCAAAATGTTACAGTGTTTACCCTTTAATTGGTTTTTAAATTTTGCAGTGTGTCCAGTTACCATGATGACATAAATGATACTAGTTTGATTTTTGCCTAGGAACGTAGTATTACAGAGAAGGAGAGATCCTAGCAGATACAGTAGGATGTAAGCAGGAGCATGGGGACAGCGGCTCCCACGACACTCTAGGAGCCACAGGGAGGTAGAGGTTGGGCTTTTAAGCACCCGGTAGTCATTCAATAAACTTTAGTGGCACACAATACAACATATCCAATTAACTTCACAAGCCCATTCACAGAAGTGGATAGCTGCGGTTAGCTATGCTTGAAACTTAGTGAAGGAACCAAAATGGAGTCATATCTGCCCACTGCAGTGGGGTGCTATGACCTGGCTACACCCTGTCAAACTATTGCAAGGGGCCGACGTGATGATGGTCCTTAGCCTGCACCCACTGGCATTCCACATGGGCATCTGTTGGTGTCGCAGCTGCACTTCCCATCCAGCTCCCTGCTTGTGGCCTGGGAAAGCAGTCAAGGATGGCCCAAAGCCTTGGGACCCTGCACCTGCATGGGAGACCTGGAAGAGGCTCCTGGCTCCTGGACCAGCTCAGCTTTAGCTGTTGTGTTCATTTGAGGAGTGAACCAGTGCAGGAAAGATTATTAAAAAATTTCCTGATAAAAAATTATCAGAAAAATTTCAAACACAATAAATAGGTTGTTAAATGAGTTCTTTGTGATTCTTGAAGAAACAGATCTAGATTCATAAACTGTTTAAACACATGTCAAAAAATTTTATGTAGATTCACCATTTGTTTTAAAAAATGTATTTGTTTTGAAAGGGAAAGATTAACACGATGAACTGGCAGATAAAAAAAGTGCAACACAATGCATGCTGTGTATTATTATTTTCTTAAATTTATTTTATTTTTATTGGAAAGGCAGATACACAGAGAGGAGGAGAGACAGGAAAGATCTTCCATCCACTGGTTCACTCCCCAAGTGGCCACAACGGCTAGAGTTGCACTGATTCGAAGTCAGGAGCCAGGAGACTCTTCCGGGTCTCCCATGTGTGTGCAGGGTCCCAAGGCTTTGGGCTGCCCTCAACTGCTTTCCCAGGTCGCAAGCAGGGAGCTGGATGGAAAGCAGGGCTGCTGGGATTAGAACTGGTGTTCATATAGAATCCTGTCTCATGCAAGGTGAGGGCTTAAGCTGCTAGGCTACTGTACCAGGCCCATTTTTTTTAAAGTATGGATTGATGGGTTTTGTATATGTTGAAAATAACTTTGATAGGATTCATCAGTGAGCCAAGACAGGTGCCCACCTGTCCCCAGTGCCTGGATTGGGTGAAGGACTTCTGTATGCTGCCTTCCTCAAGGTTGGTTTGGTTTTGAGCCATGCAAACTGATTAATGACGACTTTAACTTTTTTTTTTTAAATAAGTTCATTTAATTTGTTAAGTAATCATTTATAAAGCAAACTTAAAGTCAAAGTTCTAACTTGAAAATAGAACTGAGATGTTTTAGTATTGCCAAAGGAGTTCATGGTTAGAAAGGTGCAAGAAGCTTGCTTTGAAGACAGCCTTCTCTCTGTCCCTTGTTGTGTTGTGACTTTTCTTTCTTTGCTCTTTTTTAAAGGCTGGTGGAGTAGCAGGTGCCGCTGTTGACTTGATATTATTTCCTCTGGATACCATTAAAACAAGGCTGCAGAGTCCACAGGGATTTAGCAAGGCTGGTGGTTTCCGTGGAATATATGCTGGCGTTCCTTCTGCTGCTATTGGATCCTTTCCTAATGGTAAAAATTACATTGATATTCTCATTGCTATAAAGTCAAGATCATGGGATTTATTTTCCAAATAGCAAATGGTCTCAACCCCACTTTAATTCTTTGTGCGCTGTAGCCTATCTTTCAAATTTATTTTCTGTTCAACCCATTATTTTAAAATCAGCTTGTTCTATAGATTCCAGTATGATTGCAATAGATGAGAGTATTTGTTCATTTATTTTGAATATTGCAACAAAGTATAATGAGGAAAGGTAGACTTGATTGGCCATGCAGGCCTCTCAGCAAAGAACCGAAGGCCAAGCAATTTTTAAGAGATGGTTTTTCTTGTTGTAATTCTCGTTAGAATCCTTAAAGTGTTGTTTTAGCATTATGGGCCCTTTGAGCCATGGTTCTCAACCTTTTCTGCAAGTTGGAATCGTTTGAGAAGCTTTTAAAAAAATGTTCATTCTTGTGTTTCAACTCCAGAAATTTAATGGTTCTGTGTTCTGCTTGGGTGTCAAAAGTTTTAGTAGCTTCTTAGGTGATTCTGCTGTGCAGGCCAGCCGAGTTTCATGGCCACTGCCTTGGGGACCCTGGTGGAGCATGTGTGCCTAACAGACATTCAGTATTTGTCTTAAGCTGTGTTTCTGTTGTGCAAGCCGGGTGCTTCTGGATCATTTTTTCATTGTCTTTGATTCTGGCAACAGTCATGTGCTGTGACTGCTTTACTGTCCCTTCCTCTTAGGTTAACCTGATGTTTAAGTGCCAATCTGTGAGCACAGTGACCACTCAAAAGTTTGTGACACTAGAGATTAAATAGTTGTTTTCTTGATGTAATGATGAATGGATGTAGTAAAGCATGACATGATTATTTTGAGTAACCATCAATAAAACAGTGTAGTCGTTTGAGTTACATTTGCAGTTGTAATCTCTCAGTCAGTCAGTGTAGCTGTTTGTTTTATCGCCACAGGTAATGATGTTTTCGATTATAGAAATCCAAAAACTTTTTAGGAAGTTTGAGCAAAAAAGTGCGAAGCAGCTTGTCAGTATGAAATAGGGAGTGGGGTTGTCTGGCTCCCCCAGATGGGTTCATGGTAAATTTGTTGTTGTTTAAAATTTTTTAATTTGAAAGGCAGGGTGATGAAAAGAGGGAGAGACAGAGTGACAGATCTTCCATACATTGGTTCTTTCCCCACACTCCTGCAACAGCCGAGCCTGTGCCAGGCCGGAGCCAGGAGGTAGGCACTCCAGCCGGGTCTCCCACATGAGTGACGGGGCTCAGGAACTTGGGCCATTGTCCACTGCCTCCTGTTGTCATGGGGGACCTGGAGAGGACTCAGGCACTTCAGCATGGTATGCAAGCACCGCAAGCAGCAGCTTCATGTGCTGCACCTCCAGTGGCTGGCTCTTTTCCTTCAGTAACTCAAGTTCATGGATAAGAATAAGGACTCGGGACATTCTGAAAGAGCAAGGCTGGAGAAAAGGTGGTCTATGTTAAACTGTGTTCTTTATGTGTTACCTCCTACTTTGAGAAATATTAGGCCTTTTTGAAAAATATATGCCTTAACAGTTTGGGAATGTGTTTAAACTCAGTGAAAGACCAGCTTGTTTTAAATTTTAGCTGCTGCCTTTTTCCTCACCTATGAATATGCGAAGTGGTTTCTGCACACGGATTCAACCTCCTACCTGACGCCTGTGAAGCATATGCTGGCCGCCTCTGCTGGGGAAGTGGTAAGTGACAAGTCATCTGGATTACACTTGAGAAATGCAAGAATTCGTTTATTGTCAATTCCTCATAGTTGCACCATTAAAATTTGACAGTGCGCTATTTGCTAGACAGACCTCCACCAAGAGATCACTGAAGGTGTAAACTTACAGAGATGGAAACGAACATGCATGCCGGGGTGACTGCTGAGCCTCCTGGCTACGGTGTCTGAGTCCTGTTTTGGCATCCCCGGGTCTGATGCCTGACTCCTGCTTCCTACTCAGGCGCAGCCTAGGAGGCAGCAGAGAGGGCTCCTGTGCCTGGGTCCCTGCCTCCCACGTCAGCACCTGCAGTGAGCTCATGCGTCTTAGCTGTGGCTTCAGCCTGATACCAGTAATTCTGAGCATTTATGGCACCAGATGGCAGCTCTGTTTCTGTTGCCACTGGAAAAGAGGGAGGGAGAGAAGGAAAAGAGGGAGAAAGGGTAGAAAGGAAGGAAGCAAGAGAGAGGAAGGAAGAAAATATTCTTGCACATTGTGCTGTTTTTGTATTGTGTCAGTGTAGTTTGAGCTGCGGCTGTTTTTCCCACAGTTCTCTTTTTCAGATAGTTTCAGGTTAGGCCAGCCAACGGCAGAGTTGTTTTCCACCTTGTTAGGTGGTGGTGACACAGCCGAGAGTACTCAGAAGGCAGGTGCTGGGGCAGGCGCTGCTGCTCCCCGTGCCCCGTCCACTCCCCGTGCCCCGTCCGCTCCCCGTGCCCAGTCCAGCCGCCTCTCGCCTCCAGCTCTGACACGCTTTTTCACCTTCTCCAAATTCTAAGTCAGGTCATGTTGGCACTGTAGTAGAGGAGAGTAGCTTGCTCTGCAGTTCTCCGCTGTGGATCCATTAGGAATGTGGATTGAAGTCTGTGCTCATCTTACACTGATTTCCATGTTTCCCTGTGTGATTTCCGGTCCTCTAGTTTGTGTCCCTGTGAGATGCGAGAGGAGCAGCTCTATGTAGACTGCACAGTCAGCAGGGCCGGGCGCTCGGGCTGCCTGCCCTTGCCTTCCCGGGCGCTCGGGCTGTCTGCCCTTGCCTTCCCGGGCGCTCGGGCTGTCTGCCCTTGCCTTCCCAAGTACCTTGGCTGCGATCCTGGCTGCAGGCCTGGTCAACCACCAGCTGTGGGCAGCCATCTGGGGAGTGAACCAGCAGATGGGTCACTGAATGAATGAACGAATGAGAACTTTCCATCTGCTGATTCATTCTGCAAATGACTGCGACTCTGCTTAATTCACATGAAAATATAAGGGATCCAGAGGAGTCAATTTTGAAAAAAAAAAAAAAAGCAAAATTGAGAACTTGCAGATTTCGAAACTCTGCAGAGTTGTAGCTTCTGGTGCTTGCGTTCCGTGTGTAGATTACCTTGGGATTGTTGTCATCTTAACAACGGGGAAGTTGTCCGATCTATGAATTTGTTACATATTAAAGTTTTCAGTTTTTCTTGACAACGTTTTATAGTACTTAGAGTGCAAGTTTTGTATTTCTTGGGTAAATGTATTTTTATATTACTTTTGATGCCATTGTAAGCAGATTTTTCATTTTTGGTTGCTTGCTATTGTGACCTCATTAGTTCTAAAAATTCTATTGGATTCATTTTTTTTTTTTTGCATTTAAGAGATTATATAATCTTCCTTTCCAGTTTATATCTCTGATGTTTCTTTTTTTCTTTCTTTTTTCATGTGATTGCCCTGGCTAAGGGCTTTGATTCAGTGTTGAATGGAAATAATGAGGGCAGATAGCTTTGTTTTGCCCTTGGTTTTAGGGAGAAGGGGTTTATTCTTTCACCTATTAGTGTGAAATTAGCTGGTTTATTGTTATTTGTTTGTTTGTTTGAAAGGTGGAGTAACAGAGACAAAAAATTTTCCATTTGCTGGTTGGTCTGCTCCCCACCTGACTGTAATGGCTGGAGATGCACCAGGCTGAATCCAGGAGCCTGAAGTTCCCATCTGGGTATCCCATGTGGGTGCAGAGACCCAAGTACTGGGACTTCCGATTCTGCCTTATTAGTATGTTAGCAAGGAACTGCATTAGAAGTGGAGCATCTGGGCCTAGCGCAATGGCATGGTGGCTAAATCCTTGCCTTGTATCCACTGGGACTCCTTATAGTGCTGGCTTATGTCCTGGCTGCCCTGCATCCCATCTGGCTTCCTGGTTGTGATCTGGGAAAGCAGTTGAGGGCAGCCCAAAGCCTTGGGACCCTACACCTGCATGGGAGAACTGGAAGAAGCTCTTGGCTCCTGGCTTTGGACTGGCTCAACTCTGGCCTTTGTGGCTACTTGGGAGTGAACCAGTGGATGGAAGATCTGTCTCTCCTCTCTGTATATCCACTTTTCCAATTAAAAAAAAATCTTTTTTTTTAAAAGATTTATTTTATTTTTATTGGAAAGGCGGATATACAGAGAGGAGAGACAGAGAGGAAGATCTTCCTTCCGATGATTCACTCCCCAAGTGAGCGCAACGGGCCGATACTATGCCAGTCCGAAGCCAGGAGACTCTTCCGGGTCTCCCACACGGGTGCAGGGTCCCAAAGCCTTGGTCCGTCCTCGACTGCTTTCCGGGGCCACAGGCAGGGAGCTGGATGGGAAGCTGGGCTGCTGGGATTAGAACCGGCGCCCATATGGGATCCCTGGCGTGCAAGGCGAGGACCCTAACCACTGTGCCATCGCGCTGGGCCCCCCCAAAAAAAATCTTAAAAAAAAGGTGGGGCATCTGGGACTTGAGCTAGTGCCAATATGGGATTGTTGCAACTACTACCTTTATGTGCTGTGCTACAGCCCAGTTCCAAGCTGTGAATTTTTCACAGATAACCTTATTTAGAGTGTGGAAATTGTTGCCTTTTCCTGGATTGTCAACTTTCTGCATCTCTGAGATGATTGTGTATTTTCCCTCTTTGATATGTTACATTGATTTTCATTTGTGAAAATAACTGCATTTGTGGGATTAATCTCATATGGTCATGGTGTTTTTTTAATATTTGTTTTTATTGGAAAGTCAGACATACAGAGAGGAGGAGAGACAGAGAGATATCCCTCATAATAAAGTGGCTACAACAGCTGGAGCTGCACTGATCCGAAGCCAGGAGCCTCTTCCGGGTCTCCCACGCTGGTGCAGGGAGCCCAAGGCTTTGGGCCATCCTTGACTGCGTTCCCAGGCCACAAGCAGGGAGCTGGATGGGAAGCTGGGCTGCTGGGGTTAGAACTGGCACCCATATGGATTTCTGGGTGCATGCAAGGCAAGGACTTTAGTCACTAGGCTACCATGCCAGGCCCTATGGTGTTGTTTTTTTTTTTTTTTTTTTTTAATAAAAGTTCTAGATTTTTACTGGTATTTTTTTTTTTTAAGATTTATTTGTTTTTATTGGCAAGGCAGATCAGGTTTACGGAGAGAAGAAGAATCAGAATAAGACCTTCCATCTGCTGGCTCACTCCCCGGGTAGCCAAAATGGCCATAGCTGAGCCATATGGGTGCAGGGTCCCAAGGCTTTCAGCCATCCTCCACTGCTTTCCCAGGCCATAAACAGGGAGCTGGGTCCGAAATGGAGCAGCCGGGGCAGGGACTCATGTGGAATGGCTGCACCACTGTAGCCTGTGCCATTGCGCTGATTGGTGTCTTAACCGCTGTGCCAACTCAGCCCCCAAATTTGCTTTAGATACTGGTTTACAATGTTTTTTCAGAGCCCAGTTTTACTCTGGATTGTTAATATTATATGGATAATGTGTTGAAGTTATAAAAGTGATGGACTTTTATAATATTTTTGGATAATGTATTTTCAGTAACAGTATGAAGTAGCATTTCATTTATAAAGCATTTGTAGTTCCTTTTATAGACCCCTTTGGGAGTTTCATGAAATCTATGGCTGTTTCTAGTCGAGTAAATGCATGGATTTTTCATTTATTATTTGTGGAATTTTTCCTTTTCCTCCAAGTATGGATTCATAATAAAACTCCAATGCCAAAATTTCACCTGACCATTTACTTAAACTGAAAAGTTAAAGCAACTTTTACTTAACTAAATAATCTTTGCATGTGTTATTTTGGGTTAAATGATTTGTGGTGAATATATCCTGAGAGTTTATTATATGAGGTTTCTTTTCACTATTTACACTCAGTAACACATCGTGTGTGAAAGTGTTGTTGTATCGATAGTTGTGAGAATTCAGTCCTTAGGACTGTTTCACAGTTGTATGTTGCACTGGTAGGCTTAAACACAGTTTCTATAATTTCATAATGCAGGAGAGTTTGCTATGTTGAATGACAAGCTTTCTTGAGTTAATAAACCTTATTTATGTAGTATTTATTCTGTTTGAGAGGCAGATTTTATTCTGTTTGAGAGAGAAGGTGAGACAGGAAGATCTTCCTCTGCTGGTTAACTCCCCAAATGGCTGTGCTTGTTGGAGCTGAGCTGATGAGCAAGGAGGCAGGAGCTTCTTCCCAGTCTCTCCCATGTTGAATACAGGGGTCGAGGATTTGAGCCTCTTTTTGCTCTTTACCCAGGCCATTGGCAGGCAGCTGGGTTGAAAATGGATTGGCTGAGCCACAGACCGGAGCCCAAATAGGAAGCCAGTGGCTAACCAGAGGCTTGGCCTGCAGTGCCATGGACCTGGCCCTTTAGTTGATAGACTTTAAAAATGGTCCTTTTGGGGTGATCGTGATGCTGAGGGGGAAGTTGCTGCTTTGGATGCCTGTGTCGCGTGTCGCATAGCACAGTGCCCGTTGTCCTAACTACTCTGCTTCTGATGCAGCTGTCTGCTGACGTGTGGGGAAAGCAGTGGATGGTGCTCGAGGAATGGAGACCCTAGCACTTACTTGGGAGCTCCTGATGGAGGTCTGACTCCTGGCTTTGGTCTGATCCACTCCGCAGCATGGCCGCCATTTTAGGGAGTGAACCAGTGGATCAAAGATTTCTGTTTCTGTTTCTCTTCCTCTTTGTCTCTCTGCCTGTCAAATAAATGTCCTCAAGTCATAAAAAATACTGTCTATTTGAA